GGATACATTACCAGGATATTATTACAAGATAAATCATTTGCTCATGAACACATACAACAATGCATATTTCCACTGAGATCAGTGACCTTTTGATGTGTATCACCAGTGATCAGTCAAGTAGAAACAGTCAAAATATTTTATCAGTTTTTCTCAATTTTTGCATGATATTTTCATACAGGACATCTGTTGTTCAAACTCAGGGAAGACTTTATACTGATGAACAAGGTGACCAAGTTTGATGAAGTTTGGAATAGAATTAGTAAAGTAATCATGCACACAATAACAATTATTAACGACGACGACAACGACGACGACAACGCCGGACAAAATTTTTCCCTTAATATACCTTTCCCTTCCATCTTTGATGGTACGGGCAAGGTAATAACACTCTAAACTTTGGTTTGGTGCAGCATGTAGCAATTATAAAATAATTTATTTATTATTTATTGATTTATTATTTAAATTTTGGACCAATGGACATTAATTTCCCATTTGGCGACAAATCTACATCAAAATTATTTGAAAAACGTGGAAAAAATTATACAAGTTTGTGTTGCAAATGTTAACAAAAGTGGACTTTTGGAGTTGAAACCAGGGCCGTGTCCTAATTTCAGTTTTGAACTGATAATTGATATACCGGTAGTAGAGTTTCTGCAAAAATGTTCTAGTGATAACAGTGTAAGAAGGTTTAGTCAGGAAGGAAATAAAGAAAAAAAAATGATTTAAGAGATATGTGGTTTAAGCTTACCTAAATGACTCTGTGGGAGCTGAGTGACAAAGAAAACTGCATTGAAAAAAAAAATCATGCATTGTTACAAAAAAAAAAAATACCTTCTACATATTATTGCAATGTCAGAACAAATGGGACTGAGGTATTACACAGATCAATATGTGAATGACGCAAACTTTATATAACAAGTAAACTACATAAACAGATATTGTTATTCAGTTGAGGGCACCCATTAGCAAACCATAAATATGCAAATTAGCAGTCAAACAAGAACTTGTATTAAAATAGACATTGCCCATGCCGTGGTTTAATGCGTGTCAACTCTTAAAAAGCTTTAATCTCACAAGAGATAATTGTTGACAATTTAATGAGTTAAAAAAAATGACAAAATGCTGTAGCAGTAATAATTTCATTTGTTATTTTTGTTATCATTTGAGCACCAAGGTCAACTTTTCACAAGACACAACTTGTATTATAAAAAACACATAAAATGTGGCCAAAAATTGTGTGTGTAAATAATGACAAAAGTTGACCTAGGAGCTGAAGGTTGTTAATGTTTTAAAAATACATCAAACAAGAAGATGTTCAATTCCGACAAAAATATAAGTAAACAACAACTAAAATAGCGACAGACATATTTATAATTGCTGTGCCTTTGGTGAGGCAATAACATTTATTGTAAATCACAACAAATTAAGTAATAGTTTTGTTATCATAAAAAATGCAATTATATGTTCCCATCACCTGAATATTTTAGATACACAGGGAATACAGAGATTACAGGAATCACAGAGAATGTCTAGTGCACACTGCTTTTATAAACAAAACAATTGTACTACACATAACAGATATAAAACTGAAACACCATTTAATGCACATCAACATAGACAACTGTCAATGGTTGGTGATAACCACCACTGAATAAGACACTCATGTTGTAATTAGCCCAACAACATGTTAGAGACATCATCCACTCATTTTGTCATCATGGAATTCACAAGATATCTGGGCCAGTACATTCTTGCAAATAACACAGCATTGCTAAGCCTTTATGCTATTTTCACAATCTGTCAATGCTGCATATAGTGGTTACTACAGCCAAACAACACATACTTGTCCAGAGAACCATTTAAAACAACACATGATTATTGTTGAAGTCAACATTTCTGAAAAAACCTGAATGAAACATATGACCATTTGTGAGGGCAATCAGGCAGAGTTTCCAAGGACAATGACCTGTGGGATCGCCATACATTTCAAACCTTGATATACTTACTTAGTTCCAAGACTACGCGACTTTCTGTGACCGGGAACAAATTTTGGCGTTGAGGGTGTGGTTGGAACGGGCCTACTTGTACAGCTTGGTGAGCCTGGCAGAGCTACAGGTACATGTATTAACAGATAAGGAAGGTGGAGTAAGCTAAATTAAATATCATATCAATTTATAAAGCAAATACAAGTATTATTTAGATGAAGATAGAAATGATAGGGATGTGTACGACTTTATAGTGAAAATAATTTTCAATATAGAGCGCCCTCTACAGAACATGGCAGCAATTATTATTGCAATTGAAATCATACCAACCTGAAAGGTCATCTTTTGACCTATTAAAATCATTGGCAGTGTCTGCTGGTTCTATTTTCAAAGATAAACTAGAAAGAAATACAAAAAAAAAATTCAAAACCTCTTTCAATTGCATGATCTATAAAGTTAAAAAAACAAGCATTCACAAATTTGTGAATTACATAACATGAGGCAAAGGCAACCATTTGAGTAACTTTTCCGAAAAGGCCACATACACAACTCCTAAAGGTCACACATCCTGGTACTAATGCATAACTCCAAAGGTCACACATCCTGGTACTTTTTGGAAATTCACTATCATTGAGAAATTCTTGATTATTTTTCAAAATAATTGAGAGCAGAGTTCAAAAAAGTATAGTGTGTTATAAATGATTCCTGTTATGAGACAATATCATCAGAAAGTGCCAGAATGTGTGACATTTAGGAATCATGCAAAAAGCATATTGAGACATGTTAGGCAGATTGACATTCATAACTCAATAAGAAGAACTTGCACTTGAGTTTATGTACAATTACGTATTCATACACCAACACTGTAACTCATTCTTACATCAACCCAGTTACTTAACCAAACTTTGTGTATTCATACGCTGACCCAGTTACTAAACATAAAACCATGTATAAATCCACACAAGACCTTTCCCAACTTACTTGTAATTGTCTTCTTCCACAAATTTCTGTAATTCCTCTATGTACCTGACTGACTTGAGGTAATTCTGTACATGACTTAACGTTGATAAATGCTCATAAGATGACTGCTGGAATTCAGCAATTATTCTAAAAATATTGTTCATCTGTAAAAACAGAAATAGCAAATTTTGAGATAAAGATGCTACTAGGACAAGAACTCTTTTGAATATAAAAATATTGATGCCCCTCCCTCAATTTCAATATATACTGTTGTGAAGTCTAGAAATTTGACTTAGAAAATCATCACAAAAAAATGTCTTGAACATGGTTTTGTCATTTATACCTTCCATGTCCACAAATGGGAGCTTATGTCATTCTGATGACTGTATGAATGTGTGTGTTAAATCTTGTTCTATCAGTATCTCAAGAACCATTGGGTAGATTGAAAGCTTTTTCACAAATTTACTTATACTAATTAGGTAATTTGCATAATAATTAACCAACGTCAGAACACGCCTTCTGAATTTTCTCAACTGTTTACAATTTTGTCTAAAACTGCATTTGAATTGTTGAATCCCCATTAATTAGCTGATTTGCATATTTATTAATCACATCAATAATAATTAATACTCAATTAATTCAAGAACAATTAAATATTCTTCCCATAGGAGCACTTTCTAGCATTTCTAGTTTTCTATTGACTAGTCTGTAAACATGCACAGGTTTTTGCAAATATACATGTTCCTTGTAAACACATTCATGTGCGTTTCCCTTAAACACATGGACGGTTAACAACAGTGTTTACCTGTAACGACCTTTGTTCACTTTCTAGACCACCTGAATGTGGATGTGCTACATCAATGTAAATTAAATCTTGTAAATACATGCCTGCAAAGAAAACAAAAACAATGATAAGTTTCATTTTTACATTGGATGAAATTTGAACTTTTAAAATAATAGTACCGTACTTATCCGGGTAAGAGCCCATGCCTGGGCAAACGCCCACCCCCCACTTTTGACACAATAAAGAATTTGAGTCATATCCGGGCACACGCCCAGGTGGTCTTTTTCTACACAAAAAATAAAAAAAAAACTATTTTCTATTTGTTGACTGTGGTTGTATTAACAGTTGACTTTCTTGAAGTCTGTCGTGATACTTATAAAAATTGTTAATTGCGTAAAACAAGGGGTGAACGCAAAATAGCCGTGACAGCTTGCTGCCTTCAGGGCAGCGCATTCACCGCTGATTTTTTTCACAATCATAACAGTCAGCAATTCAATAAAAATAGATATTAAAACAGAAACAGTAGTTCTCTTTTTGAAATATGTCGTGGCCCTAAAAAGGTGGGCCGTTTGGTTTGTGCTTCCTTAGAAACGATTCAAGCAAATCGTATAAGGAGAGCCGGTAAGCAAGTGTCGCACTCATTCGGCTTTAGCGTCGTCGACAATGAAACCAATGTTGCAATATTGTAGCATGGAAGGTACCTTCCATGATTGTAGCAACCCGTACATGGGAGAGTGGTTGAAATCACATTATTTTGGCTTTATAAAATATTTTGTAGCAGCTTGCAAATCCATAACTGGGGCCAGCAATTTTGCAATGTCACGCCAAAGACAGCCAACTTTTTTACCATCTTTCATCACTGCTATTGCATTTCTGTCATGAAGAGTATTCTTCTGTCGTTGGATAAAAAAAACTTCCTATTTCAAGTCCACCGCGATATCCATATACATTGTAGTGAGACATTCCAACCGCTGGAACTTGCTGAATGATAACTTTCACCGTGATTGATAAGCGTCGAGTCTGATAAGAAAGCAATGTCACGATTTGACCTTTATGATGAAATACTAGTTAGTGATGTCATTCTTAGCCAATCAGTAAAGCAGATGCATAAAGGTCAAAGAACAAAAGCATCGTGTGCCATCGCAGCAGAGCGACCCCATTTTCTTGTCTCTTTATTATGATTAGACATGAATGAAAAGTGCCAAGCTGACAGGCTGCGAAATCCGTGGATTAAAAGTGCTAAGTCTAAATTGTGTGGGACGATATCGACGAACTTCAGGAATGAGTTGTAGGGATTTTGTTCGACGGCTACAGTGACGCCGACTTGGATATTGAGGGTTTTGAGTTTGACGAAGATAGCAATAAACGTACAAATAAAGATCTGAGAAGTTTTTCAAATAGCTATGAATTTTTATAATTTTTACTGTGTAAATTTGTAAGATATTATTGATCTTGTATGATGGTTGATTCGTAATATGTTTTGAGTTCACGCGTATTGGGCGTGTTTGTCGGTGGGAAAATCCTAATTCAAATGATTCCTCACTGTCGATTTTTATTATTTCTGGTTATTTTGTCACATTATAAGCGATACATTATTTTTGTTTTACTTCTAGTGTTGCATATTGTTCATATATTTCCGTTGCATGTTTTCATTTGCCGTTCTATTCCCTGCCACAGTTCGATCTGCGTGTTGTCAATTTTCGCGAATTTTCGTATTTTTTTGCCGGGGATCTCCTGGCAAACACCCACCCCTTCTTTTTGGCAATTTTCCATGTTCAGGACCCTGGGCTTATACCCGGATAAATACGGTACTGGTGAAGTTCAAGTGTAAGCAGACCTCATTCTTATTGTTTTTAAAAGATGCTCACTGTTGGTGTAAAAAAGTGAAATGACAAAAAGTAAAAAATGGATATAAAACCTCCATCAATCTCTGGGATTGTACTATGAAATTGTGGGAAGCACATAACTGGTGTACATGTGCATGCATTTTGCTTTAAGTGATATTGTATCCAGATATAAAGCGTAATGTACATTGCGAGGTAATCTTTATGGTACTGGTTTCTATTGGCTTGTGTAATTTCCATCAAATCTAACTGAGAGCAAGTTGATCTTCAATGGCAAAGCTTTCAACATGGCGATATATTTACTCTGTTATTCTCACCAAGCATGCCAAACTTGTTTAATCAGAAGCACAACTCTAAGAAATGTACACACAAACCAACAATTATTTTCACTGTATCCTGAATTATTCAAATATAATCTTTTGGCTAAAAACACCTCAGTTATAAACGTAACACAGTATTTTAATGCTAAACGTATGACATTAAGAGAAAAAATAAATTATAACAAAACTGTTACTGTGAGAACAAGGTAACATAGCACAATATGAAACGAGGTATTTAGATCAAACCATCTGTTGTACCGGTAACTTGTATTTTGATATCTATTTGTAATACTTACCAAGGTAAGGTATGCATGGAAGCTTCACAGTGTTCATATGTTCCCGTAATCGTTCCCTATTATTATCTTCTGACATAAGTTCACATAATTTTTCAAATGTTTGCCTTTCTTTTTTATGTAAAAGCTAGAGAAGAATCAAAGAAAGCTTAGAAAGAACTCCCGTGTGCTGAAGGAATAGGGATCATGATGTAATATTCGGGAATATTTAAAAATGATAAACAAATTATGAATAATCTATTAAATAAGGAGCCACCAGTAGTCATCTACACACATAGACATCATATACCTACAATAAGCCTACTTAAAAATATGCATAAAAAGTCTACACAAAATTGAAACATTAAAAAGAAAACTGAAATAATTCATAAAACATTGGGGAAAATGAAATGCAACGAAAATAGTAAACAAATAAATGCCCAAAATAAACTTATAGGGCATTTAAAAATATTTTAGAAATTTAGTTAACACGGAAAACGTAAAGTAGCAAGAACAACTATGTAAATTTCTGACAAACAATCACAATCTAAATATCTAAAATTCAAACCACTATCTTATATCAG